CAAACTGAGGGTTGATGGGGGGTGGGAGGGAGGGGAAAGTGTGTGATGGGCATTTAGGAGGGCACCTGTTGGGATGAGCCTGGGTGTTGTATGGAAACCAATTTGACAATAAATTTCATATAAAAAAAAGAAGAGAAAGAAAGAAGAAAATAAAAGCACTGAAGTAATGAAGCCAATGTGAATTATGGGAAACTATGAACAATATCAAATTAATTAGTGATTTCAAAATTCTAACAGTATCCCCCTATATACAGGAGATACATTCCAAGACCCCCAGGGGGTGCCTGGAATCCCAGATAGTATAAAATCCCATATATACTGTGTTTTTCTGATACATACCTATGATAAAGTCATTTTATAAATTAGGCACAGTAGGAGATTAACAATAATGAATAATAATAACATAGAACAATAATAATAATATACTGTAACTAAAGTTATGTGAATGTGATCCTTCTCTCTCAGTATATCTTATTGTGCTGTACTCACCCTTCTCTTTGTGATGCAGTGAGATGATAAAATGCCCACAACATGAGATGAAGGAGGTGAAGGACACAGGCTCTGTGATGTAGTGTTAGGCTACTACTGACCTTCTGACGATATACATCAGAGGAAGATCACCTGCTTTCACACCATGGTTGCCTACAGGTAAGTGAAACTGCACAAGGCAAAACCACAGATTAAGGGAAACTGCTGTGAAAAGATCAAATGGGATCAATGGTCAAATGGGATTTATCTGTGCGGTGCAAGGATGCTTCAGCACACACAAATCCATAGAGGTGGTGCACCACAGTAACAGAATGGAGGCTAAAATTCCTTTGTTCATCTCATTAGATACAGAAAAAGCATTTAGCAAAATTTGACATCCTTTCATGATTAAAAATTCTCATCCAGTTAGATATGGAGGGACATACCTCATCGTAATAAAGACCATATATGCCAAGCCTACAGCTAACCTCGTACTCTGTGATGAAAGCTAAAAGTGTTTCCTTTAAGATCAGAAACAAGACAAGGGTACCTCTCTCACCACTTGTATTCAACATAGTATGTAAAGTATTAGCCAGAGCAATTAGGCAAGAAAAATAAATAAAAGGATTCAAAACAGGAAAGGAAGAAGTGAAATTGTCTCTGTTTGCAGATAATATGATATATATATATCTATATGAGTATATATATATTCATTTATTAGTGCTAACAGATTTTTTTATGGAGTCTTTAGTGTATACTATATATATATATATATATAGTATATATATAGTATAGTATATATAGTATAGTATAGTGTATATATATAGTATAGTGTATACTATAGTATACACTAAAGACTCCATAAAAAAATCTGTTAGCACTAATAAATGAATTCAGCAAAGTTGCAGAATACAAAGTCAACATACAGAAATCAGCTATATTTCTCAACACTAACAAGAACTATCTGAGAGAGAAATTAAAGAGCAATCCCGCTTACAACAGCCCCACAAACAGTAAAATATTTAGGAATAAATTCAACCAAAGAGATGAAAGTTCTGTGCATGGAAAAACATTGAGATATCGATGAAAAACAAACTGAAGGAAGCTGTAAGAAATGGAAAAGGTGGATAGAATGCTAATGTGATAGGAATTACTGTCTGAATTTTCCAACCTTTAATGGTAGCAATGTCTGTGATTGCTCTGGAGCTTCAGTTTATTTAGAAGTGGTGGAGAGGGGGCACCTCTTACCTCTTCCCTTTCTTTCTGCAACAGTCTATATTCGATGAGTATGTTTCCCTTTTCCCATTGTACCCTGTAAAATGCCAAGGCTAAAGGTAGAGTTGTATACATAATTATGGTAACGTCTCTAGTCTTTCCTCAAGGAGACTGAGGTTTTTTTCATCCAATGACCTCTGGGCCTGTTAATTGGCTGTTAACTAAAATTCTAACCCCCAAAGGGATTGTGTTAGGAAGTGTGTGTGTGTGTAGGGGGGTAATTAGCTTTAGATAAGGTCCTGAGGGTGAAGCCCCATGATGGCATTAGTGTCCTTGTAAGAAGCGAAGTCTACAGCCCCCTCTCTCTGCCATGTGAGGACACAGCAGAAGACAGCCGCCCCAAGCCAGGAGGCAGGCACTGAATCTGCCAGGACCCTGATCTTCGACTTCCCAGTCCCCAAAACCTCGAGAAATAAATGTTTGTTGTTTAAGCCACCCATTATGTAGTATTTTGTGATAGTATCCCAAGCTGACATAATGCCCAGCATAAAATAAAGTTTCAAATTATAAGTCACATTAGCAAGCAAGAAAAGTAATCAGGGGAACCACCCAAAAGAGGCACACCCACAGATGTCCTTGCCATTAGAATGATCAGACAGGGGCTTTTAAAAAACTATAATGATTACATTCAAAATTTTTGTGGTAAAGGAAGACCATGAACAAATGAGAAGCTTCAGCAGAGAGATGAGCATTATGCAAAAGAAGCAAGTGAAAATGTTAGATATGAAAAATGCAATATCAAAAAACATAAAGCAGAGCATACATATTCCATAGGGTACTAACTCTTCCAGCATATGAATAATTGAAGCCCCAAATGTGCCAAGAGAAGTAAAGGGCTGGAGAGATTGTTTGATTTAGTCCATTATCTTGGACTTTTACAAAATTGATGAACAACAGCATCACAAACTGAAGAAAAAAACAAAACTCACCAAACCCAAAGCAAGATGAATAAAAATAAAATCACATGTAGCCACCATATTGATGGTAAACCAAAGGCAATTAGAAAAGCCTAGAAGAAACCAGGCAAAAGCAAACACTGAGTAGAGGGTAGTAGTCATAATGATGATGAGTGACTTTACCGTGAGAAACACTGACAATAAAATATCGTCTTTCAGATGACAGAAAAAGCTATCGACCTACAGTATTATATTCAGTGAAAATATTCTTCAAGATGAAGGGAATTTAAGGGTGTTTCAGATATTTTAAAATTAAAAATTCACCCGCGGGAGAAGACCACCACAAGAAAAGTTCAATAAGCCTTCCAGACTCAAAGATGATTGACTGTTTAAAACAAAAATAATGGGAGTGTGTTGTGTAGTGTTCAGCTGGTATTGAATGACAGTAAGGGGCCAGCAAGGAGCAGGACAGATGGAATTTATTGCTGTAGGTTTCTTACGTTGTTTCTGGTTAGAAAAAAATTGTTTGATGATGTCCTCTGATAGATTAAAATGTCTTTTAACTACTAAAACAACTTCAAAAAAAAGATACAGAGTAGTTTAAGAAGTTAGTCAAGGAGAAGAAGTGTTAAAGAAGGCAGCAAAGAAAAAAAAAATTTAAAAAAAAGAAGGCAGCAAAGGATGAACTGAACAAAAGCAGAATAGACAGGGCAAAGAGAAAACAATAAAACTGTAGGCTCAAACCCAATCATACTGTAAGTTACTTTATATTAAAATGGAAAATCACCCCAAACTAAAGGAAGAGATTGTTATGTTTAATAAATAACCAGACCCATCTATATCCTGTTTTCAGAGAAATGCACATTAAATATAAAGTCACAGATAAATGGAAAGTAAAAGTGTTGGCAAACACAAGACAGAAAGCTGGCCTGATATTGACATCAAACAAAGCAGATCTCAAGACAAGAAGTCCTACATGTGGGACATTACACAGAGATTAAATTACCAAAACATGAATCCACAATAGTCATAAATGTGTGTGCAACTGATAACAGAGCCTCAAATTCACGAAGCAAAAGTTGGACATGTTAAAGGGCAAATAGAAAAATGTGCAAACACAGGTGGAGATATCAACACATCTCTCTCAATAATGAATAGAACTAGACAAAAAAATCATAATGGTATAAAATGTATCTGAAAAACACTGTCCATCAACTTAAACTAATTGAAATATATCTCTATCTATCTATCTATCTATCTATCTATCTATATCTAGATATATATCTTCCTCTCTGCCCATCCCCTGCTTGTGCTCTCTCTAAACAAACAAACAAAAAAAAAAAACATTAAAAAAAATACTATCAGAATTCACCTAAGAAGAAATAGCAAGGTTTAAATAGCCCTGTGTATACCAAGGAATGAAATTGTTATCCAAAACCTTGCTCTGGTTGGATTTTCCAGGAAGCCAATGAGACAAGAACACGAGCTACAGGTTGTGAAGAGAGTGCGCTTCGGGTCAATGTCCACGGAACAGAAAGGAAGGAAGCGGGATTGGGGACAGCAAGAAGTACAGCCAGGACTCAGAGTCAAAGGGGGCCTTCATGGCCTTGCAGAAGGTTCTGGAGACAGTCTTGGTGTGCAGAACTCTCCGGAGATGACTCAGGTGGGCAGGGGCTTTATCCCCAGCCAACCAGTCACTAGGAGCATGTGGCCCTGAGAAGGCAGGTTTTCAGCTAAGGCAGCCCTTGGTGGGGCAGGCTGAGACATAACAGCTGAAAACATCCTCAGACTCTGAAGAAATAAGTCCTTTGTTCCTCAAGGGGCATCATCACAGCGTCCACCATGAACTTTCTCAAAGAAACCTCCAAGCCCAGATGATTTCATCAGTAAATCCCACCAAACATTATAAAGGAAATAATACCAATCTCAAATAAGCTGTTTAAAAATATAGAGAGACAGTGCTTGCTAACTCATTTAGTGAGGTCGATAGAATCCTGATAGAAGAACATGACAGTGACATACAATGAAAAGAAAATTACAGACCAGCGTCTTTCATGAACACAAATGCCAAAATCCTCATCAAAATATTAACAGATTGAGTGGATAAAAATGTGGTATAGATACACAATGGAATATTAGCTATAAACACAGATGAGCTCTTGCCATTAATGACAACATGGATGGGCCTAGAAGGTGTATACGAAGTGAAATATGTCAGTCAGAGAAAGACAAATACCATATGATTTCACTCACATGTGGAATCTAGACACAACAAAACAAAGCAAATGAACCAACAACATTACCACCAGAAACAGATCATAAATACAGAGAACAAACTGGTAATTGCCAAAAGAGTAGGGACGGGGGTGGGAAAAATAGGTGAAGAATATTAAAAGGCACAAACTTCCAGTTATAAAATAAATAAGTCACAGGAATGAAAAGTGAAGCATAGAGAACATAGTGAATAATATTGTAATAATGTTGTATGGTGACAGACAGTGATTAACTTGCCATGGTGAGCATTGCATGTGTAGAATTGTTGAATCCTATGTTGTATGCCTGAAGCCAACATCACATTGTGTGTCAACTATACATCAATAAATACATTACTTGCAGATTAAAGAGGGTGATAGACCATGATTAAGTAGGGTTCATCCCAGAAATACAAGAAGGATTGGTTTATTAGTTTAAAATCACTATAATACACCATATTAGCAGAATGAAGGAGAAAAATTCAGATGAGCATCTCAATAATTACAGAAAAGGCAAATTGTTTTATGATTGAAAACAAACAAAATCCCTGAAAAGTAGAGACAGGTGGAAACTTCTTCTATCTGATACATGGCATTCATGAAAAGCCTACACCTAGCATTTTGTAAGAAGGAAAGAAAAATAAACCATGAAGACTGGAAAGGAAAAAGTACAATTCTTACTTAAAATGAAACTAGCAAAATCACAGGATGCAAGTTAATGTAAGTTAGCTGTATTTCTATATGTTCGTAATGAACCACTGAAAACGAAACTTTCTTAAATACCATCTAGAAGATCAAATTCCTCAAAAAATATCTAATGAAAGGTGTGCATGGCCCCATGTGAGTTTCTGTGGTTGCCAAACAATTACCACAAATCTACTGGCTTGAACCAACAGAAATGTATTCTCTTACAGTTTGGGAGGCCAGAAGTCCAAAACTGAGGTGTTGATAGGCCATGTGCCTTCTGAGGCAGGGGGAGAACACTTCCTTCCCCTACGACCCTCACATTGTCCCAGGCAGACCCAGCTGCGACAGAGAAGTCTCTCCACCTGCCTTTCCACGTGGCCTTCTCTTCCAGGTCTCAAATCTCCCTGTGCCTTTCTGTTATGAGGACACTTGTCATCAGATTTAGGACCCACCCAGATATTCCAGGACGATTTTATTTCTAGACCCTTGGCATAATTACACCTGCAAAACCCTTTAGTTATGGAATGAATGTTTGTGATCATTTCCACTCTCAAAGTCAGATGCTGAAGCCCTAATCCCCAGTGTATTTGAAGACAGAGCCTTTACAGAGGTAATCAAGGTTAAATGAGGTCATAAGGGTGGGGCCCCGATTCCATAGGATTCTTGTCTTTATAGGAAACAGCAGAGCGTTAGCTCTCTCCCTGGGAGAAGGAGGCCCTCTGCAAGCCAGGAAGAGAACTCCCATCAGAAACTGACCCCCCCACCCCCCGGCACCCTGGTCTTGGACCCCCAGCCTCCAGAGCCGTGAGAAAATGCATTTCTGTTGTCTAAACCATCGAGTGTGTGGTGTTTTCTTATGGCAGCACTAAGACACCCTCTCCAAGATCACATTCGCAGATTCTCAGTGAGCGTTCTTGGGGGACTGCCTTTCGACCAGCCACAGACCCCTACACTGGCGACCACAAAGGATGGGGAGGGAAAGTGACAAAGGCTAAAAGGTAAGACCTACCATACTCATTATTGGAAGACTCAATGTTAAGATGTCCATGATTTTTATACTAATTTATAATGAAAATCTCAGCAAGTTTTTTTTTAAGAAACTGATATGCTGAATTTAAAAATTCAAAATATAACAAAAAAGGAAGCCTGTTTATCTTGTTGTAGAGTCAGGCTCCTAATTTTTTTTATGCAATTTACTCTGTAGAATCAAAAGTAAGTTATCTCCATGATTCCTATTTCTGCTTTTCTGAGACTCCACACAGAGATCCAGGACGATTAACATTGCCCGCCTTCATTCCCCATTCCTGTTGTTGAAACAACAGGCTGTCTTTTCTTCAAGCTGGCCACTTGTTTGGAGGAAGCTGGCTTTTTCAGTCCATTTTGAACTCAGCAGTGATGGACATACTCTATCTTAAGCCCTTGCTTTGGTCCTTCTCGTGTCTGGGACCATTATTTAATGGTTCTGGTTTTCAAGTATATTTTAGATTATTGTGCTTCTGTTCTCCTTATTAGTTTTGGGTCTCTTTCTGAGAGGGGAACAGGAAAGACATTTTATTCAACCATAAGAACATTGAAATGTTTGCTGTCATTGATGATCAATCTCCAAGATCATTACTGGACTGATGCTCTATGTTCCTATAAAATAAATCTCCCAGCAAGGGAAACTAGCCAAAATATTTTTTGTAACCCATGTCTAGTGGTAGTTACAAGGGGTTATATTATATAACATGAATCGCAACATTTATTTTTCCTTTTATTTTCAAACTTTATTTAAATTTTGGTTAACGTATTGTGCAATATTGGATTCAGGAGTAGAATACAGTAATTCGTCACTTACCTATGACACCCAGTGCTCATCCCAACAAGTGTCCTCCTTAATACTCATCACCCATCTAGCCCATCCCCCACCCTCCATCAACTCTGTTATCTGTCATTAAGAGTCTGTCTTGGTTTATTTCCCTCTCTCTTTTCTCCCTTCCTATATACTCATCTGTTGTGTTTCTTAAATTCCACATGAGTGAAATTGTATGGCATTTGTCTTTCTCTGACTGACTTATTTCACTTAGCATTATACTCTCTAGCTTCATCCACATCATTGCAAATGGCAAGATTTCACTCTTTTTGATCACTGAGTAATATTCCATTGTGTGTGTGTAGGCATACATACAAGGCAGCATATGTGTATACCACATTTTTTTTATCCATTCATCAGCCGATGGACATTTGGGCTCTTTCCATATTTTGACTATTGATAGTGCTGCTATAAACATTGGGGTGCAGGTGCCCCTATGAATCAGCATTTTTCTATCCTTTTCTATGAATACCTAGTAGTGCAATTGCTGGATCCTAGGGAAGTTCTATTTTTAACTTTTTTTTTTTTTAATTTTTTTTTCAATGTTTATTTATTTTGGAGAGACATGATGGAATGGGGAGGCAGAGAGCGTGAGAGGGAGCGACACCAGAATCGAAACAGGCTCCAGGCCTGAGCCATCAGCCCAGAGCCGAATACAAAGGCTCCTCGAACTCAATGGAGTACAGATCGTGACCTGGCTGGAAGTCGGACGCTAACCTCCATCATACCACCCAGGCTCTATTTTTAACTTTTGAGAAACTTCCATACTTTTCCCCAGAGCATAACCCATTCCCACCAACAGTGCAAGAGCGCATCAAGAGTGCTTTCTAAACTCTAAGCTATACTTAGGTTTACATCTATCGTCATTACTGCTGGGATTTAGTTACAATTTTTTTTAACTTTTATTTATTTTTGAGAGAGACAGAGCACGAGCAGGGAGGGGAAGAGAGAGAGGCACAGAATCCAAAGCAGGCTCCAGGCTCTGAGCCAGGGCACAGAGCCTGATGTGGGGCTTGAACCACAAACTGTGAGAGATCATGACCTGAGCTGGAACTTGGATGCTTTAACCAACTAAGCCCAGGCATCTCCATGTTACTTTTATACCTATTACATTTTCCTCTTACTCTTTTGGTAGATGGCTGAGGGGCATTAACTTATGTTCCATGCTGAAATTATAAATGTATTTGCCAATTAAATTTATTTCAAACTTGAGATCATTTATAAGAAGATATGTTCAATTAAAAAATTGTAGAGTCAGAAGACGCAGACCACACTGTTTTGTTTATTATTCACATTCTGGGCTTGCTGGGACTCTATGATACGCAATTTGCAGCCACATAAAAGAGTAATAATGTCCACTCAAGGCCTGATCGCTAAGACGTAATATACAAAAATGTGTTGTATATTGTATATTGAAGTATATTACTGGCAGATTGTTTGTGTACAACAAAGCACAAATACAAAACTCTATAATTATTTTCACTCATTAGCCTCATATACAAGTAATAGTAATGATGTAGATTTTAATCTCAGTCTAAAAATTATAGCTGCCTTTAACATTGATAACTCTCCCTTCAGGGAGAATTGTTTTTTGTTTTGACTTTGTGTTTGAGCCACCATCATCACAAATTGCTCTAGAGAGACTCAGTATCCCAGGTAAGCACCATTGCTCTTAGGGGAAAACTACTTAGTTATCATTCAGTACAGCACAGCTGTGTCTCCTTGCTGGGTTCTTTTTCACAGGAGGACATGAATGTGTCTCATTAATCGGGCCAGTGAATGAGGCAGAGAGGCAGCACAGCCTCCTTCCCGCCAGCACAGTCACGGTGATAATTGGGCAAAAGTGGAGATAGTCTAGGATATTGTTCTATTTAGTTATAAAGAATATTCTATCTTGTACTTCAGAAAAGAAAGTTTCTCTTCTAAGTTTTTCTTGCCTGAATTACCAACACTGAAAAGTTTATCAACTGGAATTAGGCAAGTGGATGGTAGAAATTAGTTGTCTTGGTAGTATTATCAGAAGTTCTCAACATCAAAATTTGCATATAACCTTCAGTTCTAGTTTTCTCTACCATGTAGACAATAATCCTAGTCACTATCTGTTAAGGAAATGGTTTTACCTTCTCATTCTGTGTCTGTACTTCACCTTCTATGTTAACAAGATGGCTTAAGAGCCTACTAGGTGCAATCCTTAGGATCATACATCTAATAAACTATGTGTGCCATGTGAAAGGGGTGGATTTGTTTTGAGAGTGAAATGAAGTGACCCCAAGTTAGAACCATGATAGCGTGAGATATTAGCTGTTTGCTCCTGGTGATGACGTGAACTCATGGGGCTGTGGAATCTGCTGCTGGGGAGCTGGGCAAGGGAAAGAGACCCACGGCCTCCATCATCAGTCCCCAGTGAGAAAGTGAAACTCCTCAGGAGTGAAGATCCAAGAAACAGGAGAGAAGCAGAAGATGGTGTGAACACAGGTGGAGGGAAGGAGAAAATGATGAGAAGATCTAAGTCAAGGGAAGAGGTAAAGAGAGTGATAAAGGGATAATGGTAAGAAAAAGGGGCTATCCTATCTTGGAGGAGAGAGTTATTGCAGTAGTTGCTTTGGCTGTTTTTAAAGTGTACAAACCCAAGTGGCTAAGATAATTGAGAAAAGACACTGGTTTTAGAAATTAGGCCACTTTGGTGGGTGCCTGGGTGGCTCACACTTAAGTTTCAGACTTTGGCTTAGGTCACATCCTCCCAGTTCGTGGGTTTGAGCTCATGTCAGGCTCTCCTGTGCTGACAGCTCAGCCTGGAGCTGATTTTGGATCTCAGTCCCCCCTCTCTCTCTCAGTTGCTCCCTGCTCTGTTTCACTCTCTCAAAAATAAAGAAAAGACAAAATAGGGGCCGCTTTGTCTTTAAGATGATATTTAACATATGGTATATGAGAGAAGCTAGATTGCTTTTTGAAAGTTTGTTTTTGTAATTTTGGGAAGAAACTCTTTCAGAGTTTAATAAAGGCAAAGGGTGAGGAACACAGATTTACTGTTGCTTGTTGAGGGGATTGCCAGTCTCTGCCCAAAACCTGGGGTTAGTCACTGAGAATGAAATACCACAGCCCATGTGGCTCAAAATCTCCACTGGAAGTGCCAGAGTGAGTCATCAGTGGACGAAAGCCAAAGTATAAGGGAGTGTAGAAAACCTGTATAAATCAAGAAAGACATAAAAGCGTTTGAATAACCAGACTTTAGGAGACCAAATAATGGAATCAATAGTACAGGAGGCCTAATTTTTATAATAAAATAAAATCACTTTCTGGAGAAAAATAAGTGGTAGAAGATAGGTGGGCACACAGAGAAATTTGAATCAAAGGGATAAATCGACTCTTTAAGGAAATGGCAGAATTTGAGAATAAAAATCTGGAAGACAGAGTGGGATTCAGGCTCACACCAGCCGCAGGTTAGACCCTAATGGTTCTCCACTGGAAACTCTACCTGTTGGTTGGACTTTTGGGCAGTGCCTGGGCACTTTTTTTTTTTTCATTTCAAGTATTTATAATTTTAAAATTTCTCATGTCAGACTCATAAGTAATTCAATGGCTACCAAAGGCATAACCAATAAATGTTTAGCTATTATATGACCACTTAGAATTAATGCTAGGATAAATACATACTCCTCAAAACAAGACCCACAGCTCTAATACTTGGAGGGCTCTGTCAATGATTATAATTTTTCCAATAGTATTAGAGAAGACTCCTGTACAGAATGTAATTCTATGTATTTTTCTTGTGATGAGAACTTTTAAAGATCTTACTCTCTCAGCAACTTCAAGTACAGTGTAGCATTATGTAACAGGTCATGTTTATCTCTAGGACTGACTTATTCCATTGCTATACACTGTGCGTCTTTATCCATTCTCCAACAATGACACTTAGTTTGTTTCATGACTTGACTATTGTGAATAGTGCTGCAGTGAATGAGTGAGCATTTTCTTACTTACTTTGGATAAATACACAAAGTGGAAATTGCTAATTCAGAGTGGGTTGTTATGTTTTTTTTTTTTAATTTTTTTGAGGAACTTAATCGTGATTTCCATAGCAGTGACTGCATCAAGGGAAATCTTCTGAAAATACTCCAAAAATTTTTTTTTTTGTTTAGACAGGGTTGGAAATGGGACGTTCTATTTGATATCATGGATTTTGTCTTTACTGGAATCTGCAAATTAAAAATAATTTTATTTTAAAAGATTCGTAAACATAAAAGCATTGATTTAAATTCTTCAGTATATTACTGCCACATGGCTGACAATAAAGAAATTCCTCCAGTAAAAGAACTAGCCACATTAAAAAGACATTTAATGACATGAAATCAAAGTTCTCTTTATAGCACTCTAGTGGTAGACAGATTGCCAGTTTTTATCAGTAAAATTCTTGTATTATAATTCACATTTGACATTTTGTTTGGATGTTCAAAGAAACTATACAATAGCCCATTACAATTGTCCATCAGAGCTTAAATTTTAGCATTATCTGAACCAATAAAAATTTCATTATTCAGCAATGAAAATGATATGTTTATAATAAACCATTTATCCATATCATCAATGTAATGCCTGGATTTTAAATCTGGCTATAAGTGGAATATACCATTATTGATTATCTTACCTTAGAACTACATAAAAAAGCCGAAAAAACAATGGCTAACACAGCCACTTTGGTGGATTTACACTCCTTGATTCCAGGCAGCTACAGCTGGAGATGATCATCTCTAAGCACCTTTCTTCTGGCACTAGCTGCTCCTTGGATGGGGAAATATGGCTATCGTCCTGCTTTTCTTTCCTAGACATTTAATTCTCATCTCCAGACCCTCATGTAATTCTTTCCTTAGAATTTGGCCTGGATTTCTGTTATGTTAATAAACATAATGATGTTGGCCAATATCTGGGGGCAAAGACAAGAGAATTATTACGCTTGGTGGCTGTGTCCTTCAACTTTTCATTGATATGGTACTGTGCTCAGTGGAATGTATCCTTCTGGCTGTGATGTCTTATGACCGATTCAATGCTGTCTGCAAGCCTCTGCACTACATGACCATTATGAACCCCCAACTCTGTCGAACCCTGGTGGCCATGACCTGGGGAGTTGGTGTTTCTAATTGCATGATACTTTCACCCTATGCCATGAGTCTTCCCCGAATGTGGGAACCACCATTTGATCATTTTTTGTGAAATGTCTGCAATGATCAAGATTGCGTGTGTGGACACCACAGCCATGGAGGAAACCACATTTGCTATGTGTCTGATTATAGTTCTTGTTCCCCTTCTTCTCATTCTGGTTTCTTATGGCTTCATTGCTGTAGCTGTGTTGAAGATCAAATCTGTTAAGGGAGAGTTATTTGGGACCTGTTCCTCCCACCTCATTGTGGTGTCCATCTTCTATGGGACTGTTATCTACATGTACATCCAGCCAGGAAACAGTCCATCTCAGGATGAAGGTAAACTTCTCAGTATCTTTTATTCCATTGTTACTCCCAGCTTGAACCCCCTGATCTACACACTAAGGAATAAGGAGTTCAAGGGGGCCATGAAGAGGCTGATCGGAAAAGAAAAACATTCCTTGGAAACAACAGGACAATGATTCTTACTCCCAGCAATTTCCAATATGGAAATGTTCACCTGACATCCATTAAATGTAGACAAGATATTTTGTAGACATCAGCTGAGAGAGGGTACTCTAAATACATACGATAATAATTATGATAAAATCCAATGTACAGAAATCCATATTTATTTATGTTAAAATGTTTATTTTGAGAGAGAGTGAGTGTGCATGTGCACAGGCATGAGCAGGGTAGGGGCAGAGAGGGGGAGAGAGAAAGAGACTCCCAAGCAGGATCTGCACTGTTAGCACTGAGCCTGATGCAGGGCTCAATCTCATGACCCTGGGATCATGACCCAACCTGAAATCCAGAGTATGTTGCTTCACTGACTGAGCCACCCAGTTGCCACCAAAGTCCATATTTAAAATAAATTCTTAAACTGAGATGCCAACACTAGAGATTGCTTAAATTATGCACTGATTCTTTCAGAGGACACATGTCCCAATTATATTGACATTCATCAATTTAACTCTAATCTTCTCCCTTCATTATGCTAAGTAAAATTGTCAGGATGTCAAGGGGGCTAAAAGCTGTTCTCGTCACACCCCATGTTTGGGATGTCTTCGCCTCCAGCGTTATAGGAATATCTCCACATAGGGTGATCTCCAGTGTGAGGACAACTGTGAGACCACTAATAAACCAAGAAGACCATGAGTTCCAGCTACCACTTATCTTAAAAGTGAGGTGATGCTAATTACACCGAAAATGTCTTTCCTCTGACATCTTCCTCTGTCTATATAATTACTCAACAAACAACCCAATTCTTTGAGCACAAAAAGAAAAACATGTTATGTCACATTCCAGTGACTGTTGTTAAGATATTATAACTTTTCACTTTCCCACTTGGTCTTTTTTACTGATTATTTTTAGGGCCAGCATGGAGATCTTACCACAGCACCTGTTTGAACTGTACTAACTCCCTACTCTGTGTGCAGAGTAGAAATACTCTTTTCCCAACTTGGGGAAAAATTAGCACATGGGAAGGTGATTCATGGCCACTGAAGTGACCTCTCATATTTGCCTTTCGCTACAATGTTGTTTGTTTTTTAGTTATTTCTCCATCATTTTGGTCAAACTGTAATCCTTTCCATATTTAAGAAGAAAGATGAATATTGATATGTAGAGACCATTGAGAGCTGTATTATCAGACTGAAGCTTGAGGCTAAGACTTTTTGATGACTTCCTCTTTATTTCTGGTTCAGTATCCAGTGTCACTTCCTCTGGCTCCATTTCCGATCATGTCAGGGTCCTCACATCTGTCACAAAATCCCATTCACACCAAAGAGGTTAAAAAAGATGGCTATAACAATTCTTCCGTGTCTAATACCTGCCTATAATCCTGCCCTCCTCCCCTGGAAGAACCATGATTCTCAATGTGTGGATTCCAATGTCTTCCTTTGTGTTATGGATGATTTACCTAGGTATGCATCTCCCAGGAATATGGTATAACTTGGATATTTAAAATTTTTTGTGTAAATGAATTCTGTTGTGCCTGACTTCCTTCATATGAATAACATCACATTTTCATGATTTATGCATGTCTAAGCATTTCAGTACTTCATTTATTTCCACAACTCTGATAATTCTGAATAGAAAGTAATAATTTATCTCTCCTGTTCATAAAGGTTGTAGTTTTTAATAACCTATAATTACATATGTATTAATATCCACATATATACATTCCAAAGCTCTTTTTATGAATTTTTTCCTAGATATTTGATGCATTTTTATTCTATCGCAGGTTGTATCTTTAACATTTTTAATTTTATTTTTTCACAATGGCTGTTCAAGCAAAATTGATTTCAATATTGACCCTGTATTCACATTTTACCCAACATACCTGCTGAGGCTCCTAATTTATCCAGAGATTATTTTAGACTGTCCACATATACACCATTATTATGTGTAAAAAGTGACCGTATATACACCAATATTCATCAATATTATGTGAAGTTTTACTTGTACCTTTTCGAGTTATGTGATTTTAATTTTTCTACTCAATTTATAGTACTAGCCTGCCCTGCCAATGATGAACGTAGTATGTGTGACATTGCTTATGTAGTTCCTAATATCAAAGGGAGAGTTTTAATTATCTCACTATTACTATATAATAAATGTGATGTGTTTTATCTTGCCACTTTTTTTTTTTTTTTAATTTTTTTTTCAACGTTTTATTTATTTTTTGGGGGACAGAGAGAGACAGAGCATGAACGGGGGAGGGGCAGAGAGAGGGAGACACAGAATCGGAAACAGGCTCCAGGCTCCGAGCCATCAGCCCAGAGCCTGACGCGGGGCTCGAACTCACGGACCGCGAGATCGTGACCTGGCTGAAGTCGGACGCTTAACCGACTGCGCCACCCAGGCGCCCCATCTTGCCACTTTTTATCAGCTGTTATTTTTTTACACTCCTTACATTCTAAGATTATTTTATTTTTGTCATAAATAAATATGAAATTTTATGAAGTATTTTTCTGTGTTTGTTGTGAAGACCATGTGATTTTTTTCGGCTTTGCTTTATTATGTTGTAAATTAATATTTATTGATGATTTCTATGTTTATACAAACTTTACCTTCACAGAGTAGGCCTAACTTGGACCAGAATTATTATCTTAGTTTATACATTCAGTTTGTTACTTTTGTTGACAGTTTTTTTTTGTTTTTTGTTTTTTTT